GTGCCAGTTTTGCCATGTCTCCCTATGCCAACTGAGGGAACAGACACTTTGAGTTACAAAAGTAGAGAGAGCAAGAGGCATGGACGAGGGCATACTTATTCTGGTAGTTTTGGCTCCAGTGACCTAACTCTTAGTGAGAGTTACAATTTAACTCTTTTGAACCTTGTTCCCTTCATTATTTTATTAGTTCTCTTGCAAGTTGTAACTGCTAAGTTGCTCTCGTATTACCACACTGCTAATGAGTAATAACTACTTTTTGTATATTTGTAGATTGGTTGTAATAGCAATGCTTATGGAGCTTATAGAGGTTATTTGTCAGGACGTGGTGGTCCCTCTGGGTGAGAACCTTTTCTTTCCTTAAAAGAACATCTTTGAGATGAGTGAGCATTGCACTTTTTATATATTAGTATTTGAACATGACAGTTTTCTCCAAGGATAACAATGCCAGCCTATAGTTTATCTGTACCCAAGCATGTCTATGACTCTGTTTGATTGATTGTATCTGAATACTCTCTTAGGATTCTTCAATAACCATCCCCTAATTCTCTTACCAGGTTATCCAGCTATACCTCTGTTTCTCGACGCAAAAACTATGGTTACTAGAATTTGGTGATTGGTACGTGCACACACACTATAGTTTTACTTTTGGTAGTGTCGTGTCTATTGCCATTACTTGCAAATCTCTCTGATGTGACCAGTACATACTAGTCTATTGACAGTTTGATAACATAGTCCATCCAATCTTCTCTATTTAGGGTTCTGATGCTCTTGTTTTCCCTTTGTTGCCTATCCATTCCCATTAAAACAGCTGAGATTTACGAAGCCTGAAGCCAGCTTACTGCCTACTTTGATGAAGCCTGCCTAAACTAGAAGACAAGATGAACCAGGGTCCACCCTGATGATGCTACTACTTGGAAGGACCAAATATATGTGGAGATGTTAATTTCTCTTTGAAATTTACCATGTCCATGCCACCAAAAATATCAAGCCCTATTATACGTGCTCTTAAGAACCTTGCTACCTTGTAGTTACCTTTTTGTTTGACCTTTTTTCTTTTTTGTAGTTTCGTTTGTTTACGGGTTCAAACCTTGTTGCTTCTTCCATCCACTGACAGTTGTACCCCGAGTGCTGGGTTTATTATGTCTTCTGCTTTCACTTAATTATCCATTTGTCAGAATTTATGGTTGGATCTTATTCTGAACTTAATCCGTTTACCCTGAAAAGTACTGCCAAAGGCATAATCTGTTTTGCAGGCATTTCATTGATGTGATGATATTAACATCAAAATGGTCCTCGAGTCTTTTGACGGTCATCAACCAATTTCATCTATTGGTATCTGTACTTAAATTGATCATAGAAAAACCATTGAGAACGTATCTAGCAAAAACTTGAGATGAAATACCAATTTTCCCCTCAGCATAATCCTGAGAGAAATGGACTGCCAATGATAGCACTCGATGACTGTTTCCAGTGATATATGCTCTAGGATATTGCTAGTTCAGGGAATTTCAGAGGTGCTTGCAGAATGATTATAGGAAAGGGGAAAGACTAATCTTGTCATCTGCAATTGAGTAAATTTTTGGATTATGGCATGCAACTCGAATAAGAGGAAAAAGCTTGTTTCTTATTGTTGTTTGTAACCCGGAGAATACAGTAGCTGATGGCTCTGTTACCTGGATGTGGGGTGAGGATATGACGTTCGATTGTATCCGACTTGGGTTATGACCAATTCTTTTAAAAGAAGATTTCTATTTATTTGGAGTCTTACGTTATACCATGTCCAAATAGATGTTGATCATTGGTACTTTAGCAAAAATGAAGGGTCACAGTAATGGTAACATCGTCTATCGAAGGTGTCCAAGTAGAACCTTCTGAGAAAGCTATTTTGCATAGCCTGCTAATATTATTGTGTATTACATTTTGTCCATTTCTTAGTGTTTATGAGCAACTGACTTGGTGACAGGTTCTGGGACACATGCCTGCTAAGCTGGAGAGCTTATAAAAACATGGCATTTATCATTGAGAAGTTTAATTAGTATTTGATATATTGGATTGAATGATATATAATATTTATATCACAACGGCAAATATCGTAAACAAGTATTACATTCAAGTAATCCCAACACAATGGGCATCATCTTAGGCTAGATATGCTTGAAAGCAAGAAATATCGAAAGATTTCTCAAGGGAAAATAAAAGGAAACCATAACTTATATCAATTAGTGAAGTTTGAGTAGAGGTGGTGGGTTTGTGCGTTCTGTTTTTCAATTTAGTTTTTAATGAGTTGAGGCTTAATCAATATATGAAATATGTATAATTAATCTACAAGAATGATATATTAGAAGAGATGAAGTGAAATATATATATTTTTGAATTTTTTTCATAAATAATCTTCGAAAAAATGCTAATACTAAGTTTTAAAGTTACGAGGAGTAAATACAAACTATAATTTATGTAAATGATAACCTATGATTCAATATAATTATAAAAAAAATGTATTAATATGATGAATAAACACATTTGATTGATCGATCAATCTATGTTGATTTTCGTTCTTTTATAATTTTTAGATCATGAATTTTGGAGTATTTTCTTTCCTTTGTTTAGAGTCTTCTTTCTTCTCTCTTACAATTATGGGTATGTGTGCTATTAATACTTACAAAAAAAATTATGAAACAATATTACCTTATAATAATAATACATTATTTAAAAAATGTATTGAAATGATTTATCCATTAACTATTAATTAAACCCGCTCAGATGCAATATGATTTCAACACGTTTACGGATGATAAAAGCCTTGGAAAGCAAACTCTATTTTGATCTAAAGAACAAAAAGCTGCCACAGAAGGAAGTGGATTGGTTCAGAGGTTTAATAAAAGCTCCAACCAATGCCAACTCAACTGCCCCAAAAGATACTTTGTCACTCCTCTAACTCGGGATAAGAAGATACCACTTTATGTTGTAATGATAGTGTCTTTGGATTGGTTGATTAGGGTTCTATAGTATCAAATAAAAACATAAAATATGGGAGGCAAGTACAACAGCTTCTATTTGTAGCATTCTTATCATTGCTGCTTTAGTAAGTACGGTCACGTTTTAAAATCACAACCACCCTCCATATGGCTCCCTTGCTGTTCAAACGACTTACCAAAACCACACATTCTTTACAATTTTATATATTCTCTCTCATCTTCCAAAAATAGTTAATCTTATTTAGATTGGTAAATTTGACTCATACTCGATTATCCGAATCGATTTATCTGATCTGAGGCCTAACATAGACCCGAATATGTAACCCGAAATTGATCTCAAATCTGAAATAAACCGAATCGGATCATAATTGACCCAAATTATAATTGAATCGAAAGCAACTCAAATCGAAAGCAATCCGAACGGAAGTTAACCTGAATTTAATTTACCCATATCTGATCCAAATTGAATTTTGACTCAATTTTAACCTGATAATTGAGTCTAAGTGAACGAATAAATTATTATTATTATTATTAATTAGATAACTAGTAGAATGATATATATTTTATACTCATTTTATATTATACAACTAGTTAATCACCACCTTTAATAATAGTTTAATAGTTCAATATAATATTTTATCAGTTAAGATATCATCTCTATATCCATAACTTCTAAATCATTCGAAAATAAGGGGTTTAAAATTAAAGATAAAATCCCCAAATTCTAAGGTTTTTAATTTGGAGAATTTTTGGTGTGTTAGAATGCAGATATAAAATAATATAAAAAAATAAATTAATATATATATATTATATATTTTTTTAAATATTATAAATGATAATAGTTATAATAAAAGTAAAACAAAAATTATAGAGAATTAATACTACAATCAATCCTAAAATTTATTAGGATTTATAAAGTTATTCTTATACTTCCAAATATTATAATTTGATTTTCAATTTTGGATTTTAAAAGTTTCTTGATTCGATTCATTTAAAATTTAAACTAAACTTCTAGCCCCATATTTAAGATGTGATAATATATAGTTTCACAAAATTCCTGAATTACAAGTAATGAAGAGCAACATCGATGACTATGACGACAAAGAGTGATGATTGTTGAAACAAACTGAAATCAATACGAATTGACCTGAAAATCTAAAGGTTGATCCAAACCAAAACTAAACCGAATTGACCCGAAAATCTAAATATTGACCCGAATCGAAACAACAAGACTCGAAACCAACCGATATGATATTAACCCGACCTGAAAACCAACTGATCCGATATTAACCCGACCCGAAAACCAACCGATCCGATTTTGACTTGACCTGAAAACCAACCAATCTAATATTAACCCAACCCGAATTGAATTTCCATAGATATTAACTAAACCTAATCCATATATATCCCGACCCGACCTGAACCCTGAATATAGTCCTAACCCGAAATGACCCGACCCGAACCCGATCCAAATGACCCGATACCCACCTCTAATATTATTCCTCATTTCAACGATATTTGCTCTTCTCATTGCACATTTTAATTGCCTTAATTAGAATCAACTTTGCTTATACCATTCTGGAATATACTTATTATTTTCTTTGATTCTTAATGATTTTATCCAAGGTGAAGCTGGTAGACTGATGGGTCAACAGGGATGAATTGATAGGGTTTTCGCCTTGAAAATTTTAAATTTTTATATAATTTAAGTATTTTCTTTATATATTTTTTTATTAATATTCTGTTTTTGTTCTCAAAATTTTATAAATTCACGCTTACCGTCCTTCGTCGTTTGGTCTAGGACTTCACCTAAATGGTAAAGAGTAAATTACTCCCTCTATAAATTAAAGCAAGGTTTATAACTTCTCCCATGTGTCATGACGCTGCTTACATCACATTTTCAAGACATGCATCTATAAATACCCTCTCCAAGTTCATCAACTTCAACACTTTCAAACTCAAAAACACTTTGAAATCCCAAAGGTAACAAGCAATTTAGCATACCTTCAAAAAAAAAAAAAAAAAATGGCCAAGGCAAATGCTATTGAGCTTGGAGAGGGTCGAAAGTCTCGTGGAGTGAACAAAGGCGTGTCGATACTAAACTTCATTTTCAGAATACTGGCATTCATAGGCACCTTGAGCAGTGCAATTTCAATGGCGACGGCAAACGAAACGCTGCCGTTCTTTACTAGGTTTTTCCGGTTCAGAGCCGAGTACAATGACCTACCAACACTCATGTATGTTCAATCTTTCCTCAAAACATCAATGGCATGCTTGTTTATATCTGTCGGAAATTTCTAACACTCAAGCTATCTATTATGACAGTTTCTTTGTGGTTGCCAATGCCGTTGTAAGCGGCTATCTGCTGCTTTCTCTTCCTTTCTCAATCGTTCTCATCTTAAGGAGCAATGCTCAAAGGGCTAGGATGGTCTTGATGATGTTCTTTGACATGGTAACGATTTTCAGCTTGACAAGCATTTAATTTACATTTTCGTTGCATGTTTCTTCCAGTGTTCAGTGTATTTGTAGGTGTGTCGGATGGTATTTAAGTCGATTGATACTATAAAAATTAAAACATAAATAAAAAGATAAAAGAGTTTGTTTACGTAGTTCAGATTGATCAACAATTTTTTCTCTATGATGCCTTATTCACAGAGAAATTCACTATAATATCGTCGGTACATGAATCCTCAACCTAACTACACATACTACTTGTAGGCGCTTCCTGTATGATATTATCATACTTATTCCCCTTTAACAACCTTCCATAGATCATTTAACACTTGCAACAAATATTTCTCAACAAACTAATATTTGATTCAACACTAAAGCCCTCTCAAATAATATAATAAAAGTACTAGTCGAAACTAGACACTAACAATCATTGATCTTATATTATTTTCCAAACAAAAAAAAATACTTGTAGTTCAAGTAAATTTCACAAGACAAAGTCTTTTATTATCAGTGTATATCATCAAGAATAACCTTGTTACACCTTTATTTGGTTGGTTGAATAAAACACTTTATGATAAACGGGAAAAGTTTCAGTTTTCAAACCAATGGATAATATGTTAATCTGAATTAACATTAAAGCTTGTTGTGGTATAGGCAATGCTGACTCTTTTTGACAGCGGGACTCTTTTGACAGCGGGAGCTTCGGCAGCGGCAGCTATTGTGTACTTAGCACACAAGGGGAATAGCAGGGTGAACTGGCTCGCCATCTGCCAACAATTCAACGCCTTCTGCCAGCGTACTTCGGGTTCTCTGATTGGATCCTTTGCCGGAATCGTCCTTATCGCGCTGCTGATTACATTATCCGGTGTTGCCCTTGCTCGACGTCCTTAGATCCGGTTTGATTTGATGATGGCTTGATTTGCAAAATGTGTATGTATTTGTTTTCAATGGCCTTGCATGTGCCTGTAAGAATCACATCATTATGCGTGGCTTTAGGTTTCCTTGGTTTTTACATGCTGTGGATTATGGATCAGATTTATTGTTGTTACTGAAGTGGATTGAAATCATTGACAAAAACTTTTCAATGGATTTTTACATCCTGTGGAATATTCTGGGTTTGGGGGACCACAATTTAATTCATTTGGTATAAGGGACATCACAACCTAAGAGCGTAACATGCTCCAGCATAAGCCACTAGCCCACAAGTTCCGTTCGGAAAAGAAGAATCACTATTTTTAAACGGAATTTGGATATTCTAATTATATCAACAACAAAAAAATTAACAGTCTTTATGAAGTCTTCATCTACGATATATCATACCACTTGGAAGAAATGTGTTGTAAAACCATTCGAGGCCTTGTGCTTTGTCACCAGTCCATGCAACAAAGAATTCTTATTCTCACTATTTTCAATAGGAATAGCCAACAAGTGTTACTCCTCTAAATGGTAAAAAACCCATGGGTTTGATGACTTGTCCATGTATAGGTTGAGCCAAATTTAGAATGGACTTGTTTAGGTTATATTTCTTTATTTTTTTAAGGTTAAAATAAGGTTATTATGCAATATGGCGGAGAGGATAGTTCACTCTCATTTTCTGAATAGTCTACAATGATTTTAAGGTAACAATATATAGACACCCTGCAAATGTAATTGTTCGAACCTAGAACTTCTTAAGAAAACAACATTTTCTTTTACCACTTGTAACACCCATAGCCCGTAAACATCTAAGAATACGAGTTATATATGTCATACCAAACAGACTAACGATCACTATTCACAGTTGTTTAAAATTTTATTTCCTTTAAAAATTCCTAATTTCAACTTTTAAAACTATTTTTTCTACTTAAAATTATGTATAATTTAAAAACATGATATTTTAACTACTATATATTCAAGCATACTAAAATACTGAGAAACTAAACTAATCAAATTAAAACAGTCCTAATTTATTATTACAGACCATTTAGTCATAAACGAGAAAACATGTTAATCACATAAATATACATGTCACTACTAGTCAAAAGAATCATCGGTGATGTTTTACTGATATTGATATTACAGATGATCTGCACACGATGCTTGGGAAGCTCCTCACAAAACGTTTGTGTCTTAATCAGAACCCAACCTTGAAAATTATCACGCGTTATGTATAACTGAGTGAGGAAGTAATACTAAAGGTGAGAACAAATAAATAAAGTATCAAAATATATAAAATCATTTAAAATAAAACAGTCAAAACTTTCAAAACGTTCAAACCAAATATCTCATGTTGTTTCTTTAATAGGAAACCTGAAAAGAATTATCTGATAATTTTCATAAGATCATAATAAAGCAGATCAAACAAAATAATCAGTCAACATTCCTTTATATTCAGACAATTTTCAAAACTTTCATATTTCATTTTTATAGCCCAGAGTATATTTAAGAGAATATAAGGCACGTGAGTCAGACGAGTGTGCGCAATACAAATCTCAGTGCCATCATCAGAATCGGAACACATAAGCACACACAGTGCTATCACATCAGAAATAACAATATGCACACAAAGTGCATTCAGGTCGGAATATATAAACTAGTGTACACTCCGATACACCATGATATATCAGAATCAGAACATATAATCACTCCACCGCATGGCATGCTAATTATACCTTTGACTCTCAATATAACATACAGTGGGCTTTCAGTTCATTTTGAAATCATTTAAAAAAATCACATCAGAATTAGAAATATATCTAATTCACATTCGTAAAACATGACATTGACAGTTCATACCCAAAATCATTCATTAAACTTATTAAAATATTACATATATATTTCCAAAATCAAAACATAATTCATATCTTTGAAAATTAACAAGGTGAGGTTGACTTATCATAAGTCGTCCTCGATCATTATAAATAAATAAATAAATTGCACTCACCTTTGTCTCACTACAGAACTTGCATACAATAGTCCTAGTCATGAGCTTTGTCCTTTCCTTTCGGTTTGTTCGGATTGCTAGATTTATCGTAGTCTAACAATATTAAATTATAACACAAAATGTTCGAACTACATATTAGTATCGTACTAACATAAGCTGATTTTAACATTCGAAAATCTATAAAATAAAAATCAAGATTAAATCGATATCAACTAAATCACATTTCCATTATAATTTCCAACTTCTCAAAATACTCATCAAATCCATGAATATTTATTTTCATCCTTAACCCTTCATCTTTTGCTAATTTACACAAATAAACTACAAATTATGAATTCCTTTTAGAATTCACATCCATCTTTCCATTTAATTCATAATGGTCATTCACCATTATGATCATTATACATAAATTACTAAAATTCCAGCACTTAAATAAAATACCAAATCAATACTTCAACATTCAAAACATTATAAATTTCAACCCAAACTTTTCTAAACTTTCAATTTTCATCATCTAACTTTATAAATTTGTAATTCAACCCCAACTCAATATTTAATTCAAAATTCAGCATACTAATAAATTTTCCAGCATTCAATAATTTGCCCAAATAATACTTCTACATTTAATAACTTACAAACAAGTCCCCAAGGTTTTGGGACCTTTCAATTTCCACCTCCAAATTTTCCAAATTTGCAATTTGGTTCCAAACAACATTCCAGCTTAATTTCCAGCATTACAAATATAAAAAATCAACATTAAATTCCTCAAATATTACATTCTTACAATAATATCCCACAATTCCAAGAACTTGTAAACTAGCCCTTTTTCACTTCCAAGGTTCCAAATTTATCCAAACCAATCTCCAAATCACATAGAGTATTAATATCATTTCTAATCCATAGGAAAATTTTCAACATTTTCCCCCAATTTTCTTCCTTATGGTCGTATACTTTATCTCACATAGGGAAACTTTTTATTCAATTTCAAACATGAATTCAACCTCCTATTATTAAATTCATGTATTTCCAATCGTCACAACATCGAATTTAATCAAAATCCCATGATTCTCCATAAACCCTAAAATGGACAAATCTTATATACACATGTACAATTAATTCTAATCATTATACATACTTTAGAAATAATAACTAACATCAAAATCATAAAAATCCTTCAACAACTCTTTAAAATCACTAAACTCTTCAAAACCCTAATCATCAAATCTCATCACACAATCATCTTCAGCATGAAATATTTATATCAAATGATATAGAATTTCATGTAGATTAATTCTCTATCTAATAGCTAAATCCAAAAATCAAGTACATTGCTTCAAAAATCAAAATAAAAATCTTACCTATCTTTTCAAGGGAGGTTCGGTCTTGGAGAAGAAAGAAGCTGAAAATGGTTTATCTTGAGTATTCTAGCTTTTAAAAGATAAAAAACATGGCATTTTCTAATTAATTGAATTTAATATTCAATTAATGAAAATTTTCAAAAATACGCTTAATAAATCTTGAAAATTACCAAATGCCATTGTATTATCTTTCACTAAAATATTCCTTGTTCAAAGATGAATCAACTTGGCTTTGACTTTTGAATTTGACCATCCAATTTTCAAAAATTGCATTTTAGTCACTAAAATTCTATTGTTCGATTAAATCTAAAAAATTGCACTGTTCTGAGCCAAATTTATCTGATCTAAAATATGAAAATAATATTTCCAACCATTTTATAACATCCTTCAATTTTTTTGTAAAATTTCGGTTCGATCCGATTATCCGATTTCAATACTGAACTTTACCTCTTTATAACTTTTAACACAAATATCGTACCAAAAATCCGATTCCCACTAAAATATCTGTTTTAATCCAAACTATTCATTTACACGCTAAAATGTATATAACTTTTAAAAATTACAATTTTGATCCTTAAACTTTTCAAAGTTTATACTTTATCCACTAAACTTTCTAAACTTATTTTAGTCACTAGTCAAAATTTGGGGTATTACAATTTCTCCCCCTTAAAGAAAATTTATCCTCAAATTTTCCATACGTATATACATACCTGCATTAAACAGATGAAGAAACTCTTTTTTCGTACCTTCTTCTCGTTCCCAAGTTGATTCTTCAATTTTATGGTTCCACCAAAGAAATTTTACCAGTGGTATCGTCTTATTTCTTAGTTCTTTGACACGATGTGCTAGAATCCTTACTGGCTCCTCTTCGTATGATAAATTCAGCTAAATCTCAAATTCATCCGGTGTAATCATATGCGAAGGATCTGACTGATACCTTCGAAGCATCAATACATGAATTACATTATGAATCTTATCCATCTCTGGAGGTAATGCCAGCTGATAAGCTATTGGTCTAACTTTCTTTATAATCTCGTATGACCCGATGAATCTTGGACTCAATTTCCCTTTGCGCCCGAATCTCATAATCTTTTTCCAAGGTGAAACTTTAAGAAATACTTTATCACCTTCTTGATATTCAATCTTTTTTCTCTTTAAATCAGCATAAGATTTATGTCTATCAGCAGCTATCTTGAGATTATCTTGAATTACTTTCACTTTGTCTTCCACCTCTTTAATCAGCTTTAGACCAATTATATCTCAATCTTTTAGTTCATACCAATTTAGTGGCGTTCGACATTTTCTTCCATACAACGCTTCAAAATGAGCCATTTTGATACTCGATTGATAACTGTTGTTATAAGAAAACTCTGCTGAGGCAAATACTTTTCCCATGATCCTTTGAAATCAATAGCACACGCTCTTAGCATGTATTCAAGTATATGAATAGTTCGCTCAGATTGACCATCTGTTTAAGGATGATAAGCTACGTTGAAATTTAGTTGAGTTCCCCATGCCTCATGCAAAGACTTCCAAAATCTCGAAGTGAATCTCATATCTCCGTCTGAAACTATTGAAATGGGTACTCCATGAAGTTGTACTATTTTTTG